TGTTGGAAAGGAAATAACAAAAGTTTTCCTTACAGTAAAGGGCATGGCCATCTTCCGACGTGCACTCGTCTGAAAGAATACATAAACGGAGACATACGTGAAGTCAATAGATCTTTAATAATGAAATTGTTTACTTATTCCTATGGAATTTGCAACACACTGAAGGGCATGTCAATTTACTCCTGGGTGCATTATGGCTTGGTGTTGTGGACGACAAGGGAATTTTTTTTTGTTGTTTTTTTTCTTTCCGTGTGAGTTCGAATCTTCGTCGCCAATTTGTTCTGGATTCCGAGATGAAATCCGGTCTCAAATGAATGACAAACGCAGGAATGAAATATAGCAAATAAACGTATTGACATAATAATACAATTGTTAATACAGTTAGTACATCTAGAAATGCAGTTAGTAGCAATAATAATATATATATAGTCTGGGAAATTCAGTATCGAAGTAGGACTTCCTTTTGAGTCTACGTGCTCGCAACTGTGACTCCTACAAAGCGATTACCTCAGACTCACTCTCACTCTCTCACTGTATCACTGTCTGACTTCCGGGTATTTACCGGCAGCAGTACAAGTACACAGTGGGCGAGTCCACTTGTATATAAAGGGATGGACCCCTTAACAGAATGATATCAGAAAGACCAATACAAATGCAAAAGGATGTATACCTGTGTTTTATAGATTATGCAAAAGCCTCTAATAAAGTACGTAACAAAGAAATGCTAGAACTGGGTGGTAAACTTAGTGTATTTGGGAAGGATATTAGAATAATCCAGGATATATACTAGGAGCAAACCGCCTGCATATGGATAGAAAAATGAAATCAGTAAATATATAAAAATAGAAAGGGGTATAACACAAGGCGGGGGTCTTCTAACCGAACTTGTTCACTTTATAGTATGTACCTCCAAAAAACTGCTAAAAAAGAACAAAAAAAGTTTTATCGTCAAAATGTTTATGTTATTATTAAGAGGAAACATCAAAGTATATCTTGATTATTTTATTAAATTTCCTTTCTAGCGCTTCCGAAATTCTTCTTGAAAATATTGTTTTTTCTTTGGTGGTGGTGTGGGGGGGTCTCAGCGGGTGCGTCAACGATTAATATAGGGATTCTTTGTGCATTTTTTGGCATCAAAACCCATTGTTTTGGAAATCCTTGGAACAATCAATTCATTTTCGGATTTTAATTAAATTTTCAGGACATATTCGCAAATGAATTAAATTGCTTTTGAAATTTTTTTTTGAATTTTTTTTACACCTGTTACCCCCATTTAATTTTATGAAATTTCGAGAAATTAACATTTCAGCCTCTTCATAGTTAAAAGCAGAAATTCATAGAGAATTTAAATAATCAATTTGTTTTTGACAAAATGAAACGCCATTTATTGGAAATCTGATCTGAGTCGTAAAATAAAAACTGCAATAAACTATCACAATATTTAATTAGAAAAGATTTTAATTTCTTTTATAAATAAGTTGTCTTAAGATTGTCTTAAGATAAAAAGTTTCGATGAATAATGAATTTTTAAAAGAATTGTTTTACTTTTTTAAACATTTTAATTAAAAAAATGTATTAAGTTTTAAATCTTTTAAAATTCTGTATTAATTTCATCCTTTGAGATGATATTATTATTAAGTGAAAACTATATTTACTAGTCAAAAATAGAAAAACTTAATACAAATCATTAAATACTAATATTTTAAAAAGAATTTTGAATTTTTTTGTATCTGTGTAAACGTGCTGATTTTTGTAAGTACGAACGATCATACACGACATTATCAGAAAATATGAGCGAAAACTATAATAAATTTAAAGTCCACATTTCTAAAATTCAGTAAAACATTATATTACGGAGAATATTTTCCTATAATTTTAAGATTACTGAGTACTTAAAAATTATATAAAAATGGGGCTCACGTCATTTTCTTAAATTACGTTTTACAGATAAACTCTTTGTAGAACAAAATTAGATTTGTCATCAGGCTGTTAATACGTCAAAATATCTACTGTCGGGTCAAAAACACAGCAACTACCGGTTCGAATTTTTATGAGTTTTTAAACTCAAAGTAAATAATATTTGTTTCGAATCAAATTAATTATACTTTAAATCTGATAATATTCCTCAAATAATTTTTTTCATAAAATTATAAGTTTAATAAAGAGAATTACATTGCAATGAAATACTACTAAAAAGGGTATTAATCAGCTATTTTAGCAAAAACAAAAGCTACTTCAAGTTAATTTAAATTAGTTTTCGAAATATAACAAAGTATAGTATTTACATTAGTCGGACTATGGTCCTCATCTTTGTCGCCATATTTGTCACAACGTTTCGGCCGTTGTACGCTCCGGCCTTCTTCAGGTGGTTGGAATTTCGAACTGAACCCTTTATTTCGATCACTGGGGTAGACTGTTCTAGTTCCACGTGCCATGTTTGATGGATGTCAGTTATCAGTTATCTCCTGCTAATTTCCCTCTGAAAGTTATCCACTGCCTTAACCAGGAATTGAACTCACCTTCTTTGGGTCTGTCACTGGATCTAACCAACGCCTTTATCCACTGTGCCATGTGTCCTTGATGTTTGTAAGAGATGAAAACTGGTTTGTCGCCCAATCGGAGAAGTCGGTTGCATTTTGTCCGTCACTCCATTCAATGACACCGCTATTTTTTCGTAAGCCGATATAATACAGACCGGGAAAAGAAATAAAAATGTCGTGAATTTAATGAGTTCTAATTGATATAGATGTGCAGTGAATTTGTATGGAAAGAACACTAATTTCTTAGTCTTTCACCGTAAATTTACGCGCGCGATTATACAACATATCACCATTTTTAACAAACCTGCTGCCATTAAATCGTTGGATATTTAAGAACGATAGAAAGATATTGTCGAAAACAAAAGCGTTAGAACAACGAATAAGGTGGGCCAGGGTGTTTCCCTAGACACATGGCACCTTAGGAATTTAAAATTTAAATTTGAAATTAAGCTTCCATTCATATTCTCTGTTTCTTGAGTGTATGCGACCTTCGTTAAATTTCCTTCCTACCCCCCACATATATATGATTCGATCAGTAAAACCACTTAATCTGAAGAAGTCACTTCGAAGAACGAAACGTATTACACAGGATCTTTTTTTCTTCTTCTAATATTTCATAAAATTACACACTGTATGCACCGAAATACATTCTCAAGATGCATTTCCGTAATCATTATTCATTAAGCAAAGTTTCAATTTCATCAAATATTTTGCCTACATGCTGGTGTTCTTTGGAAACCTAGACGATTAAAATAATCTACTGGGAACGGGACGGTATGTAAAAATTTTTTATATATATATATATATATATATATATATATACATGAATTATTCACACAAAAACTATTGCAAAGGTTAATGATTTAAATGGCGATACATCCATCATCGCAAACAATTCAAATAATATACAAAAACCTCCGTATCCGTTATGAATGAAATGATCTTTGTTTATATAAATTTCTGCCGTATTAGATCTTATTTTTACTACAAGCTTTCGTCTGTTCCTACAGACATCTTCAGGTATAGAATAGATGTTGTTCTTGTTTTTTCTCTTAGTAATAAGAGGACAACGAAAATATATGTATTGCTGTATCCGAAAATGCTATTGAAAATGAGTTACTGTTTTTTGAACGCGCAAAAGCAACGCTGAGTTTGATTTTAAATTTTTAAAGGTTGTGCGTTCATATATGGTGATGAACGAATTTTTTACTGGTAAATTTTTCTGTCAAAGTGGCATGAACTATATTGTTCAATAATTACAGTAATGTCGCACTTATTATCCAAAAGTCGCACTTGGATCAGTTATTTAAATTACGATAAACGTGCAATCAATTTACAAATACATGAATTATTCACACAAAAACTAATGCAAAGGTTAATGATTTTTTTGTGTGAATAATTCATGTATTTGTAAATTGATTGCAAATATATGGATATAGATCCGACAGTATGAAGAAAAATATACTGAAACAACAAACAAAAATCCTAATATGCGATTATGCTTTTTTAATGTTTAATGTCAAGGTCGGACGTTTCGGTCTAATAGACCATCTTCAGGATATATTCATAAAACATAATTAACATAGACCATATACAATTCAACATGAAAAAGACGATGGACATAAAAGCAATTCGCCCACGTGACGACGACGTGATCATATTTAAACGGAACACTGATCTTATAAAAGATTTCAGTTATCATTTGGATTCCATAGACAGCCACTACATAATTGCAAAAATCGACTTAAAAATTCCAATAACAGCAACAAAATAGGTAGCCCATGTAAGAAGAAATGCAAATAATGGTATCATCAAGATGTTAACTTTCCACACTACTAAAAACAAAATGTTTAGAGAGAAACCGTCATCAGTACGAGAAAGAGTAACAACAGGTAATGTAATTCCCTGAAAAAGAAAAAGATTTTATAAATTTTAACCAACAATTACGCTAATTTTTCGCTCAATGAATGCCGAATGTTTCACAGGCGGAAACAATTATCATTGAACATGATAGAGATGTTTGTCATATTGTGTCAACATGTACAAGAGGAATTAATTACTACATCACAGAATGTCACTGGCCAATTGTATGTTCTTTTACATACGCGTCGATAGGATGTACCTTTAAATTAATATGAAATGTGTATACTGTTGATATACGCCATATTTGGGAGACTTTACTAATCTGCATGTGTGACCATTTTATCAATTGCAACTCTATTCCTTGGAGGCTTAATATCAGGTAAATTGAAACACATATTTAGGGTTGTGAAATTTTATTTTCCGTTCATATAGTTTTCAAAAAAGACAATATTCATGAACCTCATAACAAAAATATCTTCCATTAAAGAAAGGCTTTACTTTGAAAAGCAAAAATTAGTTGGATTTTAAAAAATAGTAAAATAATTAAGAATGATTTTACTCAAACTACGTTCACAAAAATAAAAACTCATAACACACGAAGATAGATAGATAGATAGATAGATATAAAGAGACTGAGATAGATAGATAGATAGATAGATAGATATAGATAGACTGAGATAGATAGATAGATATAAAGAGACTGAGATAGATAGATATAAAGAGAGAGATAGAAGATAGATATAAAGACTTAGATAGATAGATAGATATAAAGAGACTGGAGATAGATATGAAGAGACTGAGAAGATAGATGAGATAGATAGATAGATATAAAGAGACTGAGATAGATAGATAGATAGATAAAGAGATAGATAGATAGATAGATAGATATAAAGAGACTGAGATAGATAGATAGATATAAAGAGACTTAGATAGATAGATAGATAGATATAAAGAGACTGAGATAGATAGATAGATAGATATAAAGAGACTGAGATAGATAGATAGATAGAAAATGACAGAAATACATAGATTGAAATATAATGATCAAACTGAGAGATAAAGAGCTATACACACTGAACAGAAGAAAATAAAATAAAATAGAATTACATTAATTCACTATATAGATTAGTATAGGAAATTTTAGCGTCTTTTTGAGATAAACAAAACATTTGGAAATTCTTGCAATAATCAAATAATTGTTGGATTTTAATAAAATTTTCAGGATTTATTCACAAATGAATTAAATTATTTTTTTAAATATTTTTAAGATAATCTTGAAAGAAATATTTTTTACATCTGTTATTCCCACTTAATTAATGAAACTTTCTGAAATTATAATTCTACCCTATTCAAAAGCAGGTTTCCTTAGCGAATTTAAATCATCAATTTTCTTTCAAACAGAAACACTAACGAAAATCTCCCCCGAATCATAAAATAAAAATGTAATAAAACTAAGAAATTATTTAAATAAAAAAAGCTTTTAATTGCTTTTATAAATAAGATATTTTAAGGATAATATTGTCTAAAGAATTTTTTTTATGAATAATGAACTTTTACAAATTTTAATTAGAATAATTTACTAAGTTTTAAATCGTTTAAAATTCTGTATTAATTTCACCCATTTAGATGCTACTATTATTAAGTAAATCTATATTTACAAATCACAAATGTAAAAGTTTAGTACAAATTGTCAAACACCAATATTTTAAAAGATTTTTTTTAAATTTTCATGTGTATAAACGTGATTTTATATATATATATATATATATATATATATATATATATATATATATATATATATATATATATATATATATACGAACGACCATACACGACATTATCAGAAAATAAGAGCGATAACTATAGTAAATTTACAGCCAAAACATTTAAAATTCAATAAAGAATTAGATAACTGAGAATATTTTCTTAAACTTTTAAAATTACTGACTACTTAAAAATTATATATAAAAGGTGCTCACGTTAATTCAATTACTTTTTTAATATTTGAAGCCCTCGTAGAAAACCATCAGATAAATATCAATCTGTCAAACCCGCTAAAACCTCAAATAAACAGTAGCTGTTGGGTTTAAAAAATGCATTTCTACGATATAATAAACTTGAAGGAAATAACAGTTGTTTCAAATCAGATTAATTATATTTTAAATCAGCTAATATTTTTCAAATAAAGAAGTATATTTTATTTTGGGAAAGTGTTTCAAGAAAGAAAATTGTATTTAAATTAGTTTTAAATTAGTTTTTGAAATACAGCAAAGTATTTTGCTTGTTGGAAATATTAAATGTAATCAGTTAGCTTGGAATTAAAATAAAAGCTCCAGGAAAGATTTTTTCCAATTTTAAAAATTCATTTGAAAACTTGTGAATCGCGTTTTCTGTAGCGGTACTTTTTATCAATAACCTGACTGATTAAATGATGTTGATAATCTCCACTTGTCCGCAGAATATTGCTTCAACCTGTCAATACATATATATATATATATATATATATATATATATATATATATATATATATATATATATATATATATATTTGTTTGTAAATATATGGCAAAACATTGGCATAAATAACGGTTGTTCGTGAATAAAGAAACAAGGTAGTAGAGAAGTACAGAGAAGTTAACTCTGGTCAATAATACAGTCAATATGGAGACTAGTTCGTGGTGGGGATCTGTACGTAGAGGCGAACCGCATGTATCTATGATAAGAAGATATTCCAGTTACAAATTGAAAGAAAGGGGAAATTAATAAAACAGAATAAAATTATTCAAAATAGGAAATTTTCCTCGTGTGAATTCAGTTTAAATTTCGGTCGAGTTCATAACATTCACTTTCGCACAAGAACTCTTGGGAAATGTATGAATCTATCTCTTCTCCCTCCATATATGGGTTAAATAACAAAACAGGCTGGACTCTCTAGCCAGGTTGGTAGACTTTCAACGAGGAGAACCACTCTGAATTCAAAAACTCAGGCACCAGAACCTGTACAAAGACGGTTAAAGGTAAGGTGCAGATCGTATGTCCGTAAAACAAAAACACGACAGATTTTCGACACTTATGGATAATCCCACTCGAGAGCGATTATCCTGATTAATACTGACACCAACATACACTGAGTGTGTCATATGTCGAAATAGGTGTTCTGGGGTATGTTAGTGAACATAAATGGAGTGAGGTAATTTTGCAATGAAATTTTTGGATCATGCTTGCTTTTCGGGTAATCGTACACCGATGAACTGCCATTTTTCTCCTCGCGGATATTATGCAGTGATTAAGAATGTTGTGCTATTTTCTGCGACAAGTTGCGGAACTTAAATTTGGTGCGTAAATCCCTCCTTTGGGGGATTTCGTATTATTTATCATCTCTCAGTTGCGTCTCTGGCCTTGGACAGAGTGCGCTCAGGGGCTTCTCTGTCAAAGGACAGAGGGGCAACTGAGGAAAATTATACTGAAGAGGTGCCCAGCCCTGGTGAACAGCTGCCCGAGGCCGTGCCCTCCCATTGCACAAGAGGGAGGGATCGGTGCTCGCACCGAGGCCAGCGCAACCGACGGTTGCGGTGGCTGAGGGCAATTTTTGTCCCTACCCGGGTGTACGCGCTCGGGTGCCCGCATTAAACCGACCTTGTGTCACATCTTGTTCTAGTGGGGAAACGAGTAAATACCTGCGGAACTTAAATCTCATATTGCTTTTTTTTTTTAAATAATGTTCTTCATTGTACCTTTTCCAGGTTTCTTTATCCCCGCTCCTGACCGTGCGGGAAGCGGTTATTTTATCGTGTTACGTTCTCTAGATCGATGACTAATCAATACGAAAGAGCTTCTCTCTGTCCATTACACAAGGTCTTATGACTAAGTGCAAGGACAACCATCGACGCTCTCCGAACATTTTTCGTTTGCCGAATGTCAACGCTTGGTATGGTTTTCAGGAACGATCCAACTGTACGCCGGAAGTGCCTCCCAGTGAAGATATTATCAAAAAGTCACACCCCACCTGACAATTACTGACCAAGGTAAGATTCGAACCGAAATCTCATTGCCGACCAGCTAACATTCTAACATGTCTATTAGAAACTACAGTACTTGAATTAGCGAGAATATACTTACTTGAGTAGATATAAAATAAATTAAATATTTACCTATGGAGATCTGATAGCATCGCCAATTATCATCTCTTCGGCCGGCATAATTCGGCTGAAGCAAGATGCTGTGTGTTTGATATTGTCCAGTCTTGGAATTGTAGAAAAATGTCACACAAGAGGTATTTCGGTAGCAAATTCCTTTACAGCCTTCTAAAGATGGAACCTGTGATTTCATAATGAGAGCATAGTCTTGGATCCGACCGTTCATTGTTGAGGACTAAGAAAATGTTCCTGACAAGAAGATCTGACGCCCTCAAAACAAAGTAATTGAACCAGAAGCAATGTCTTCATGATAAAACTGTATATACTGAAAAGGAAAAATAAAGTTAAGAAGAATATATAGTCGTTTATATATTAAGAGAAAGGAATTATATCAATATATGTGCTGGTACCAAGTCAAAAGCCCTATAAAACGTGATCTTGGGAAATCTCGCTTTTGGTATTCACCACTGAATGAACCTTTCAGTATTTCCGTTGACACTAACAAGGCGTCCAAAAGCTGTACATATCCTAACAGTTTCTTTCCTCTTGAAGGGATTGTAATATTCTTATAAAGGAAAGTTGTGGCTCTGAGTTTTGACGATTTTTTTTACTGTGCGGATGAAGATATACTTATAAAATCAGAAAGTCCTTAAGGATGAGGATGATGAGATTAAGCGGCAATGAAAGCTACTGTCGGATGTTTATAATTAAAAAAAAATCATAGTAGCTATACACACATTGCGCAAGTTCAAACAAATCTCATCTGGAGAGTTGGATTTGGATATGGTCAATAATTTTTATCGTTATTTTTTTTTGTATTTTTATTGATTAGTCGTTAAAATAAACAAAATCTGAAGGTTACCAGCATCGAAAAGTCCGCAACATATGAATATTTTATTGACATTAAAACTTTGTTTATCGACTGACATGTTTTCGCTAATGTCATTAGACATGAAAATAGTTTTTAAACGATGATCAATGCACAAACGTATGTTTAATATAAACGATAATATGAAAATTGTATGAAAAAATAATAATATTAAACAGAAAAAATTATCTAGAATTTAAATAAAAAATAATAAAAAAAATCTATTGTGTCAAAAACTAATTGAAACGTAATATGAAACTATCGCAATAATTTTCTTTCAAAATAAATATTTTTCTTTTTTTTTTTTCAAAAATATATATATATATATATATATATATATATATATATATATATATATATATATATATATATATTTTGTTTATTTTTGTTTTGGTAATATTATTTTCAAAAACCTCAATGGGCTATTTTAATGCCGACAAAATTTTATTGTTGGTAATATTTTTTAAAATCTATTTCTGTTAATATTTCGCCTTCTTCGGATGCGGTTAAAAAATCCTAGTTTTCTGGCAATAATTTTCAGTTTTCAAATATGTATCAGGCTGGTAATAGTTCACTGTTTTTTTTTTTTTTTTCAGTTAAAAATGCACAGTTGGTAATATATATTTTCCGTCTTCCAAAAACATATTGTGGTAATATTTATTTTTCAAAATGCATTCCTGGCAACATTTGTTTTAAAAAAAATGCATAATTGGCAACATTTGGTTTTCAAAAATGCATTGCTGGCAACATTTGGTTTTCAAAAATGTATTCATGGTAATATTTTTTTTACAAAGATACGAATTTCTGGTATTATAAAAAACATTATTATTTTAATTTGCAACTTTATATATATATATATATAAATAAAATTCAAACAAAACCTTTTTTTACACTTTCATTGTGTTTTGATAATCCCAGTTACAATTCCATTGAATAAGGTTTTGTTAAAACCGTATAGCTGGTAATACTTTTTTTCTTTTTTTTTTAAATATATAATTGGCTCCAATAATATTATTTTTCAAAAACGCATTGTTGGTAATATCAT